AAGGTGGTGCCCTAGAACATACGAAAGTGAGGTGAGACCCGAGATCACGGTCAGTGAAGCACACCTCAAGGACACTGCTCCTCCGTGAGGCTCTCATGGCCTAGCTGCCTACCTTTGGTGCTCAGCCATGGCGGGGTGGGGAAGGGAGGGGAGGTGCTCTGCTGGCCTGGAGGCAAACTGATCCCAGAATGACCCGAAACCACTACAGAGCTCAAGAAGAGATGGCTCCCAACTATGACCCCAACAGCACAGGAGAGCTATGAGCTCAAGCTGAACCTGGGGTACAAAAGAAAACCCAGTCTCAAGGGAGGAGAAGAGGGAGAAGAGTGGAGAGGGGAGGGGAGGACAGGGGATGAGAGGGGGGAGGGGAGGGCAGGGGAGGATAAGGGAGGAGAGGGGAGGAGAGGAGAGGAGAGGGGAGGGGAGGGGAGGGGACGGAAGGGAGAAGAGGTGAGAGGGGAGGAGAGGGGAGCAGGAGGAGGGAGGGAAAGAATAAGAACCAGCTGTGTCAGACCCCCCCCCCCCCAGGCCTCACGATGGGATTTTGGGTAAATGATAAAATGAGGAAGGGAAGAATCTGGGTTTGATATGCAGATTTTTGGCTAGGTACACATCAGCTGAGGAGAGCAAGCAGCTATGTTCTAGCTGCCATGACACTAAGGGGTTTAAAAAGGAGGCTGCATGATGGCCCCGAGGAGGCTGGCGTCCTCATCACCTTCAGGGACCAGGGGTCAGTAGTGACTTAGACTTAATTGGGGGCACAATTATTTGTTTCCTCCCGTGACACTGTGAACACACCTGTAACTTCATTCAATAATTTTCTTAGACCTTTTTTTCAAGGAGAAAATTACAACTATTTTCTATACACACTAGTTAGAAATTCATTTCCATGAACTTAGAGGTTCACACGCAAGTCATGCAGCATCAAACTTCAATTAATGCTCTAGGTTTTTCTTAATTGCTTCCTAAAGCAGAATGCATCCTATGGACACAGGAGAGAGGAAATCCCTGCACTGATTAGGAAGTCAGATCCTCCAACGTGCTCTCCTCTTCCCTCTCTGGCCCCTCACACCCACCTCGTCTTTTCTGTCCACAGCCATGTCCCTTACACGTGGTGTGGCTCTCCTGCTCAGCAGGCCTAATGCTTTCATTCTTGGTCACGGTCTTCTTACTATAAACGAGTCTGCTAGTGCCATTTCAAAACACACTGGCAAACACCTCATCTCAAACCTTCATCAAAGGAAGCGTGAAGACTGAGACAAAGTTGTGTGCTTTGCCCTGACTTTGATTTTCCATGTAACTGCACTGTTTTAGTCACTAAGGAAGGGCACGCCAAGCGGCACCTACATGGGAGGTGTGTATTACCCACAATCAGCAGGACATTTTTCTTCCTTTCAAAAAGGAGAGGAAATTAGGAGAAGGAAGTTAAAAAAAAGTTACACTTACAATTCCACTTATGGCTACAATCCAGATGTAGGACCCAGAGGTGAAAAGCTACAAAAGAAAACAAAAGGCAACTAAAAATGAAATCCAACTGTCAGCCATAGCATACTTAATTTCCCACACTACCGTGGTGACGACGGGAGGGACATATTAGTCATGATGGCTTGCTTCAGAGAAGCAATCTGAAGTGAAGGAAGGGCACTTCTGTTCATTTGAAAGAAAATAAGATGTTACTCTTTTCCACAGATTTCAGGTTTTCTGTAGCTGATGCTACATGAACCTGGCCCATGCCATGCAAAGAAAATAACTGGATTTTAAGCTCTGCTGACCTACAAGCCTTAGCTGACTTACAGTAAACAACCACAAATAAGTAATTAGCACTAACAACGTAGAAGAGTCATTTTCCACATTGGTGCTGAGTAATGATCTATAACGGCTCTTCACACAACTCTGTAACTTCTCGTCATCGCTTTGTCTACATTAGATGGCAGAACCTGCCAGCATCTAAGTCAGTGCCCAACGGTACCTTTCCTCTAGTTTACCCGAGAGTAAGCTAGTATCACCAGGTCCTGTGCAGAGACTACAGCTTTCAGTTTAGGACTTTTACGGGCTTGCTGAGTGTGTGAACACACTATCCTGATTTTTGTGACTTGGGTCTCTTTTCCGTCTGTTGGCTTGCTTTGTTCAACTTCATTGTGGTGGATTTTGTTAAAAAATTAAAAATAAAGTTGTTAAACTTGAAAACAGAGAAGCATGCTAGCAGGAACACAGTTTTAACTGGCGTAAAGGTGTGAAGGGTGTTAAAATTAGAAATCTCTTCTTTTGATTTCCAAATGTTCATCTGAAAGATGTGCTCAAGGTTCTAAAAAACAAAACAAAACAAAACAAAACAAAACAAAACAAAACAAATCAAATCAAATCACAAGGTTTCTCCAAGTGTCCCTAGAAGGTTTAAATGTTTGTGTTTTGTGCTTAGTTTTGGAAGGTTTAGTTGGGAGCTGTAGGATCATGGAGAAAGAAACAGGAGCGGAAAACAGAACAGCTTAGGTTCACTGACAGTGTGCTGGATGGAAACCTCGGGGCTCTGCACGAGCACAGACAGACATGGAGGGAAGGAGGCTGCAGGCTTTGCTCAGGACTGGCTCACCTAACCTTCCATGTGCCATGGAGTTAGGCCACTGTGCACTCAGCTCTCAGAACTACAGGGTGCGAAGGACCTACGGAGACAAGGATTCTATAGTTCTCTGCTGTGAGAGGAGGAATCCACAACCAGCCACCACGCTAAACAGCCAAGCACTGCTGGCCAAGATTTTCATATACTGACTCCAATTTCTCACCAGCCAATGGGGAGAGTACACTGAGTGCTTGCCCTGGGTCATGAGACTGGGTGTCCTGCTCCACAGCTCTGTGATCACCACCCATGTACCTCTCATATGCCAGTGAAGCAGCCTGTCACTATGTGAGTGAAAGAATAACTTCCTTGGTCTCTAACGACCACTGCCTTAGTATCCAGTTTCCGCTTGCATTCTCAGAGTACAGATGTGCCTCTGGGCTGGACAAGTGCACACCCCACACTTACTCAGCCTTCAAGCCATCATCCAATGACTTACCTCCGTGCCCCC